ATCTATCTATCTATCTATCTATCTATCTATCTATCTATCTATCTATCTATCTATCTATCTATCTATCTATCTATCTATCTATCTATCTATCTATCTATCGATCTATCGATCTATCGATCTATCGATCTATCGATCTATCGATCTGTCGATCTGTCGATCTGTCGATCTGTCGATCTGTCGATCTGTCGATCTGTCGGTCTGTCGATCTGTCGATCTGTCGATCTGTCGGTCTGTCGGTCGGTCGGTCGGTCTGTCGGTCTGTCTAATCTGTCTAATCTGTCTAATCTGTCTAGTCGGTCTAATCTGTCTAATCTGTCTAATCTGTCTAATCTGTCTAATCTGTCTAGTCTGTCTAGTCTGTCTAGTCTGTCTAGTCTGTCTAGTCTGTCTAGTCTGTCTAGTCTGTCTAGTCTGTCTAGTCTGTCTAGTCTGTCTGTCTGTCTGTCTGTCTGTCTATCTATCTGTCTATCTGTCTGTCTATCTATCTATCTATCTATTTATCTATCTATCTATCTATCTATCTATCTATCTATCTATCTATCTATCTATCTATCTATCTATCTATCTATCTATCTATCTATCTATCTATCTATCTATCTATCTATCTATCTATCTATCTATCTATCTATCTATCTATCTATCTATCTATCTATCTATCTATCTATCTATCTATCTATCTATCTATCTCTATATATGCATATATGTTTAACTTTTCACATGTTTTAAATGATGGGTTTTGAAATTAATAGGTTTAATTGTGAAAATGTACTTACGTTTTTATAACGTCATTGATTTTTTAAATTAGCCAAATGAGAATTTATTATCTATTTTTCATAACTGCAATGTATTTGGATTTAAAGAAGTTGTCATCCATGTGAAATTGTGCACACCCTATTTCTTAGTCCCAATCTATAAATGTAACTGAGAAAGTCAATAATTTGGCAAATGAAACTGTCGTATTACTTTTCCCCACTACCCCACAAAAGAGTTTTAAAGAAATTATTAAAATCTTCTACAGAACTTTAACCCCTTTGCTTACGCAAAAGCAATTTTTAGCATTTTACGTGTATTGTTCTTATTTGAATGAGTGATAAGTGCATTAGTAATTGATTTTGGATATGTAGTTTCGATTCCCTGATTGCATTAAACGGCATTTTCTTATTAAAGATATATTTAAAGAGAGCGTTTTTTTATTGTACTCTGTAAATTTCAAAAAAAAATTATTTTTGGAATGAGTAAAAAAGACAAATTGTATAAAATGTCAAAAATAAAAACCTAACATTATATTACATTTTAGAAAATTTTAGCAATTTAAAAAGCTATCTATTGTATGTATTAACTTTACTGTTAAGAAGGGTAAAATAAATTATTAGTTTTTTCAGGCACGGTTATAAAATCAAACAAAAACTTAGTGCTGTGACAAATACAGCCAATCACGCTATGGCGTCTTTGGTGCAATTAATTAGATTATAAAAAAAATAATTTTTCTTTCACAATATTAAGAACGCACTGAAATACACACTCAAATTTTGGGTTTTCCCGATACGTGTGATTAAGATGCAATTCTTCGGTCATAACATTTTAATTAATAATTTTTTTCATAACTTTTACATTCGGATAAAATGCTTAAAATAGTTATTTTTTAAATTTGTTAATGTATTTGTAATGTATAATAATGATACTTAAACTTTTAATACAATAAAAAATGAATTAAAATATTGTTTGCGCATTTAAATTTCTTCGATTTCCGTTTTGATTATTTTTAGGTTTCCGAACGTACTTAAATCGCATCATTTCTTTGGCATTGTGTCACGATAGCTCACTCTTATATTTATTAATACGTTTACTATTGGTCTATTTTTACTTTTTTGTTTTTTATGGTCTAAATAAGATTTTTTAGTGTACTTTTTCCTAAATCATTATACAAATTATTCATAAAAAGATTTCAACAATCACCAATATGTGTTCGGCCTAAAACAGAAAACCGGATGGCCAGTTTCAGTCTCTCGTCCTTTAAAGACGACAATGAATTAAAATTTATATTTTATAGATTAAATTACGTCGTATTTTAATCACGTCAAACGTGTCGTTTTTACCTAATACGGGTATAGGCCGGCTGTGCTAATACTCGGTATTTTCTGCTTTCCCGGTCAGTACCCGGCTATGTGTTTATTTCATACCTTTGGATTAAATTTGAATCAATTACCCTCTATGTGTGTGTATGTATGTATGTGTGTTCGTGTGCATGTGTATATGTGTGTGTAAGTCTGTTAATTCACATCAAAATTAATAGTGTTAAAAAATTGTTACTTCTAATTTGCACTTGTTTGATATCGTTAGTTCTATTATACTTTTATTAACGGTATTGTTTCTTCGGTATGATTGGTATGTACTGTTTGAATTGCAAAAATGTTTAAAACAAAATTTATTTTTATTCAATCTGCATATTTTGCCGTAACAGAAGGCTAGCTAAAAATACTAAAATGTAGAGCACATTTATTTTACCCTTTCCATTATCGATTTTAGCTTCCCGCCTATTGCTTCAACGTGTCTGATCCTATCATGATATGTATAGCCTAGTAAAATTAATTTAAGCCTTATCTCATGTATCTTATGTGAATGTGTGTCTGAAAATTCATGGAGATATATCAACTATTCTCAAAAGTAAGTGCATGAATTCGGCATGTTGCTTTTAATTACTTTCCAATTAATTATTTATATAAAGCTATTTCTTTAACGAAGCATCAAAAGATTAAACATAGTTATGTTTTTTTTACAAAAAATGTTACCAAATAGTTTCAATGGTGTAATTTAACCTTGCAAACATTTATCTAAAGAGACAAGTACTTATTTGACATGTTTTCTCATAAACGTATTTCAGTTTTTTTTTTTTTATGAAATCGTCATTAATAACTAACAAATGACCAACTATAAGTGAATATTATTAATGTGACAAATAACCGTGTAGATGATAAGAACTTTAAAAAAATAGTATCAATTCTTCAACAACCTAATTTTTTTTATTCCTGAATTTAGCCTGTGTTTTTTATTAATCGTTTCTTTACACCATGGTACACACCATAGTTTGAAAATCAATGACCTAAAAAAAATCGGTGATCAACTCACATTTTGAATTCCCTCGAAAACCTATCGACTTTCTAAAAATTTCGGGTTTTCCCAAAATATATTGGAATTTTAATGTTATTTCCCAAGGCTCCGCTAACACTGTCTCCGAATTTAAGAGACATACCAAAAAGAATTCAATATATATATATAAAAAAAAAAAGAAATGCAATATCACAGTGAAGATTTCTATGTTAGCTCATTCAAGATCGATCACTGTCATTAAATTGCACAATATAAAAAAAAAGTAGGGTTAAACCTGAAAAAGGGAATTCAACAAAACAACGAACGTGTCGGCAGGGAGCCTACGTCAGCGTACAAAACAACAGAAAAAAAAACAGAATAAAAATGTAAAAATAGCATTTAGCTTAGAAGTAGTATCCGTGGGCAGCAAATGAATTTTAATGTAAATTCCAAAAGCAATTCGACAATTTTACGTGCTTTTTTTTTTTAAATTGTATTTTGTTTTTTTCTGTTGTTTTGTTTGGTGACGAAAGCACCCTGCCGACACGTTCATTATTTTCTTGCGTTTCTATTTTAAGGTTTAACCCTGCTTCGTTTTAATCATGTTATATTGTGCTGACATGATTGCAGTCTCTCCCCTTATTACCCTTGTACTTTGCGGGCGTATATAAACGACTGTCAGTCTTAAAAAAAAAAAAAAAACATGTTGTTCTTTTAAGGTTTAACCCTGCTTCGTTTTAATCATGTTATATTGTGCTGACATGAGTGCAGTCTCTCCCCTTATTACCCTTATACTTTGAGGGCGTAAAAAAAAGACTGAAAGTCATAAAAAAAAAAAAAAAACATGTTGTTCTTTCGCACCAGAATTCTGGTATTAAAGCTTTGAAAGAAAAAAAAAATTAAAATGGCAGCTTAGTCCACTTGTCTATTACAAACGTTCAATATTGTATTTATAGATAAAATTGTGTCATTTTAAAAATTCATGTCAGAAAGAATTAGCAGCCCATATAAAGTAAATAAGAATAGTTTGCGACCATGCAACACTATTCTACATGGTCAACTTATATTAACTATAAATTAAATAGCTTTATATTGTATTGCGATACCTGGGCATCTTAGTCTCATAGCAGGGACCTGCACATCATGAACAACATATACTAAATTAAACTATTGATTAGCAAACTAAAATTTATAAAAAATATCCAAGTCAAGTTTAGAGTAGTAGGGCTCGATATTAGTAAAAACAGACAAGCAACAACCTATTCAGATAGTAAACTTTTTTTTATTACACAAAAAAAAACAACAACAAATAAACAAGGAACAGACCTATTGAAAAATAAAATAAAATACGATATAAACGTGTAATTTATTTTGCAAGTTTAATCATTTCGCTATGTCTCATGAGATTTCTCTCTAAGCAACCACACACGTTCTTGTTTTCTTAGACTTTCAGAATTGATATCAGTGCGCGTAACTCTATGTACAAAAATGTGACTAAACTAGAATACTAAGTAAGTACATGCGAATTTGCTGGTAATTTATTTTTGAAAGGATTTCTGCAAAAGGAAAAAATGTGTGAGTTAACATGAATTTCTTTCACACTGTAAAGTGAGATGGTTAACAAATTGGATAATTTAAGTGCTATTTGTTTAACATGTAATCTAAAGAAATCAAAAGATAATAATTGATGGACTGACACTTTTATTTGTATCGCTGTTCTGCACAGCAACCTAACATAATGATAAAATGAAATGGTGAAGTGCTTAGGCGGGGCTTTTGGTGTGTTGTTGTTGAAGCTGCTTATGACAGTAGCTCATGAAAGAAACAGATTTGATAAATCTACCAAAGGTACGCCTCAAGGTCAATGATCTGAAGTTATGGTGAAGAAGAAAATAGTTGTTTTTTTAATGTTACCAATTATTGCCAGACGAGTTGTCATTTGAGAAATGTTTGTTTTGTCAAGTTAATTTAACAGAGTTGTTATTCCCTTTAAAAAAAAAAAACTGAAACAAAATAGAATGGGTAGATGAATGCAAAATTTACTCTAAAATGATAAATGCTCAAGTATATACATAATGTAAATAAATATATATAAAAAAATATATATATATATATATATATATATATTATGTCCGAAAACAGGAACCAATTCAATAAAAGTGTGGTCAATGAAAAGCATGTCTAAAAGCATCTTTTGAGGATAAGTGAGGACACTTAGAACAAACAATACATTTTTATAAAAATAGTATTACTTTGTTAAACAAGTTTTTTTAATTGAATAAAAAATTATATCATTAAATTCCAGATCCGTTTTCATCAGCAACGAATCTGACAACACATGATAACCCAAAAGTTCGCACTGGTTATGGGGATCACCAATAAACAACGATGAAATCGTTTTCGTATGCTGCTTTGATCATTTTGATAATCGGTGGAGTTTCCAAAGGTCTTTTTTTTTTTAATTACTGTATGTGTAATCATTAATTTAGATTATTTAAGTTATAAATTATTTATATTTTATTTATTTGATAATTTTTGTAGTACAAATTGCAACCACATATATACATTTTTAAAATCAAAGTATTTAAATGTAATACAATTGTAATATTTAAAGCAAATTTATCCTATAATATTACAATTACTGATTTTCCTGTTGTTTTTTTTTAAATATTTTTTTATGTCCCTTACATGTCAAGCGTTAAAGGGCATTGCAATTTTAACGGCCTTATATCTTGTTTGTTTTATTATTTGTTTGTTGTTTTTTTTAGTTATAATTTTTAGTAAACGTCACACACATGTAGACACATTACTGAGATTTTCACCAAGAACAAAAAAAAAAAAAATTCTTTTAACAGACATGCTATCTGCCCAAGAAATACCAATCTTTAATTTGACTCAAAATGAATGCACAACCCAGTGCAGTAGTGGCTTGTTAAAATTGCTAGAAACGTGCCGTTTCCACCTACTGGTTGGTTTTGACAAGGACATAACTTCATCGTCTACCCTTCTCTTCGAGATCAAGAAAGCTTCCAATGATATATTTCTACCTGTGAGTTGCATAACTAATGTGTCAGTTAACTATGTATTGTAATTTGTAAAACAAAATAGATTGCTGAAAAAGACAATCGTTTTTAACGATACTTGGTCTGCAATATGTATGACTGTTATTTTTAAAAAAAATATTGAAGATTTATTTTAAAAAAAAACTATCAAATCATTGAAGTTCTTTTTTTCTTTTAAAGTTTTATTTCTTCTTCTTCTATATTAAAGGGGCCAACGATAAATGTATTGACCATTCTGGCTCCTATATATGTAGAGGGCTTTGAAATTATTTTGTGCCTGGTATTGAAGAGGATATTTCACTCGTTGCAAGGGCTACTCAGAGGGGTATCTTTAACTGGCGTTTGGAAGGTCTCAGTCAATGGATGTGTCAAAATTGTCGCCTCAACTATTCCTTTTTGGAAGCGTGCTCCAATTCGAGCTTGTCTTTGGCAGGAATGAGCAATCCATGAACTGTGTTCTTGCTTTCATGAGCAGGAACTGCCTGTCTTAGCCTCATGGCTGTCTAGACGGGAGAGGGAAGAGTTTCTGTTTGATGCTGGAGCAGTGGACTAGAACACTTTCATCTTGTAATTAATGGATATATTATTATTAATATATTTTTTTTAAATTTCAGCTCTTCAATCTGCAACTACAGTCTGATTGTACTGGATATAAGGAAAATGCAGTGTATTATTGCACACAAACAGATTCACGCCATTTCGAAATCGTTATCAATGCTGAAGATTTGTCACGATTTAATGACGCTCAAATGAGGGCGTACCTAACGGCTTCTGGTGAAAATAAAATCTACAGTGTGGTTCAACGTTTTCCACAATTTTACGGTAAGGATGTTGGCGGCATTACATAAAAGGTATTAAATAATTATTTTATAGTAGCTTCCTCGAGAAATCGTTAAATTGTTTACATGCCAGTTGATAACGAACACTCTATAATGTGTGTTCCACTGGAGCGGCTTGCAGCTACACAATACTCATTTATACAAATTTATTTCCCCGAATTTATTTGATGCTTTGTCACGTTTTATACTTTAAATTTAATGCAGGAAATATATTTCAATGACCGCTTTTTGATAAAACTTCTCGTTGTGTTATAAAATTAGTTTCACAAAAACATACAAATTTTGAACTTATGGTAGAGAAACTTTGTGTTTAAAAAACAAGGTTCGGGTGGCAAATAGCAGAAAATCCTTTTTAAGAATGATAAACATTGTAGAATTCTCTTGTGCAAGTTTAAAGATTTCTGTATTTAAAAAAACGAAATTCAAAAAAATATATCATTACATGAAGTACATAAAACAGTATGTCCTTAAAACTTGTATTCAATATATATATCAGTACATCCGTTCTTCTTATCCCCTCTTATATTTGAGGACCCACGATCAATTTATTATCATTCGGGCTCAGGGTATGGATTCAGAATTTGCCTTCTCTTAGTTGAGTTGCCCTTCAAGGCTAGCGGGTCCAATTCGTTAACACAAATAGTTAAAATGCCATATTAAAACATCAAAATCATGTTTTGACTTTCCCAGTTAATCCAATTTTAGGCAAAAAAGTCGAACAACGATTTTGGTACCAAGTTAATGTTTTAGAATTCTACATTTATGATTATGTCATTATATCAGAAAAAAATATCCATGCAAAAAATTGTCCTTAATCGACCCCCGCTTCATTTTTTCACTCAAACCCACAGATCAGACCAAAGCTAAAGGAATTTTGAAGATAAATGGTCAGAGCGCTTCAAGTGATTCTGTATGCAGCCAAGTCATTAATGTTACTCATGTAATTATAGAGTTTCAATGTGTGAGTGCCGCCACTCCGTGTCTCATAGAGCTAAAGGTTAACGAAATCGTCGTTAATCAAAGTAAAGATCATGCTGTCTTTAGTCACAACTATACAAAAGAAGAGGAATTAAATGTAGCAATTAAATATGCTGCCTGTAGTCTTGTACAAGAGCATGACACCATTCACTGCAAAATCAAAACAGGTAAATCAATTTTACATTATTTTCTTGTAAACTATGTATTTAATCAATACAAATATTATCATTTTTTGATGTTGCTATTAAAACTAACTTTGTTTCATTTTTTTTCAAACGCCTTGCTATTAAAAAAAACACACAAGGTAAAAAAAATATGAAAAAGAGACAAATTGAAAAAAGAAAGACGTTTGTATCTATTACATATACTTTTTTTTCTATTTTTCAATAGGTGTGAGATATAAAGAAGACACGCTTGTTTTCAAGCTATCACAACATAAGTGTGAGACGAAGTGCAGAGATGATTTATATATCAATACCTGTATATTTTATTTCAACCTAAATTTTTACAAAGCTGTGTCCAACACATCTTTTCTCTTTGTCGAGTTGCGTGGACCATCGGATAACGTATATAAACCAGTTAGTCTTAATTTGAAAACAGTAAAATTTAACATTCAATTTTATTTTATTGTCTGCAGTTAGTTTTTTTAATGTATAATTTACACACTTTTTGCATTTATTATCAGACATCTTTAACACTGTTAAACACTACAATTCATACGGATTGTGGTCTGCTAGACCATATGAATTCAAAACGCATACATATTGCATGTAAAAATATATATATATTTTTTTTTAAACTTAACCCAAATTATCTACCTTAGTTAATCTTCATTGTACACACTGTATCACCATATCCTGATGTAATTAACTAAAATAATATTATTTAAAATTGTATGTTTTTAAAGATTTTAATTTGATTTTTATTCTCAATACGAAAACACTCGTTAAAAAAGTAACACGAGCACTTAAAATGCTTTAAATAGAAAACGTAAACGCTAGTTGTGTTCAGATGCATTTATCAGATAAGTTTACTTTCAGTTATTCAATGTTGACCTTCATTCGGAATGCGCTCAACATAAAGAAAATGCTCAATATAGTTGCACTCGGATTGACATCAGCAGTTTTGGTATTACTATAGCCCCAAGGGAGCTAGAACAGTTCAGAGAGGCTAAAATAAGAGCATATTCAAAACTGAGCCAACATGACACCATATATTCAGAACCGCTGAATTTTCCACCATTTTTTGGTAAGTGAAAAAATCACCGTTTTTAAGGCTTCTTCCAAAAATATAAATACTATATTTATGGCTCAAAAATGAAATCTATAATCTTCGTTTTTATGAAATAATTGTTATGTGCTGTAATGGAATAATTGTTGGCCGTTGGTGCAAATTTAAATAAAGAGATAGGTACTATTGTGCAATGTTGACATTGTTTACGGATCTACGGATTATGCTAATGCAAGATTAAACATACTATAAAAGGATGGTTTAAATATGTATTTTGTTTAGTGCAATTAGTCAGTTTTTGTTTGTTTGTTTGTTTGTTTTTTATTCTATGATTGAAATGCGTAAAAGTTTTCACCGTTTGTAATCATTCTCTCGTTAATGTTTTTATGCATACTATCGTGTTTAGCAAAGCGGATTCAAGACTAGAATTTTGAAATTACAGTTATTATTTGCCCTTGCTTAATGGTTCTACTCTCTAAATCTCAAAAACATTGCCCAGTGACGAATGAATATTTTCCATTTAAATAGTTGGCGTACATACGTCTGAAGATATTTTAAACTAATACAATCATTACAAATTATTATGAATACATCTTTAAAGAACAGGTCGTTTTTGTGCATTTTTAGTACTAAGATTTGGCTTTTCAATTTTTATTTACAGAAGAAACTCATGAAACGGCAAAATTAAAAGTCAATGGCCAAGACATGCCGAGTACAAGCAACAACTGCAATATAACAACTAAAGACAACGATGTTGTCCTCGAGTTTCATTGCCTCAGCTCTGCCAAGCCATGTCTGATAGACATACAGGTGGATGATTACGCTGTAATCAAACATCAGGAGAATTATGCGGTTTATAAAGGACATTATGCAAGTGGAGTGCATTTAACTGTGAATATCAAGTACGGAGCTTGTGGATTCAGAGGAGGATATAAAAACATCGTTTGCAAAGTTACAATAGGTAAAAAAACAAAAACAATGTTAATATAGCCAAGTAAAAAACAAGCCGACACTAAAAAATACATGGTAGTCATATTAGTCAATAAAAATATGCTTTCTTAAAACTTAATATTACCACTCCATTCATTAAAATATACGTAGTTATTTAAAAAGAAAATAAAAGTATATATATATATATATATATATATATATATATATATATATATATAAAATATATATTTATATATATGTAACTTAAGATATATACATAAAATACATGGTAGACATATTAGACAATAAAAATATGCTTTCTTAAAACTTAATATTACCACTCCATACATTAAAATATATATATTTATTTAAAAAGAAAATAAAAATATATATATATATATATATATATATATATATATATATATATATAAAATATATGTTTATATATTTGTAACTTAAGTTAAATACAGCTCTAGGAGAGATGTTATTGATCACAGTCTCTTAATTTGTGTCTGTGTGTGTGAAGCCATTTAACAATTAAGAATCCGTTCTCTTTTTGTTTAATTTTAAAGAAAATAAAAGTAGCTTAAGATAATAATATATAAAACATATCAATTCAACAGGATACATTTATAATAGAGTCAATTATAGGTTACTAATATCATAATATCTTTATTCAATATACTCTTAACATGTTTCAAGCACTATTTTCTTCATACATTTTATTGATATCTAATAAAAAAAATTATAAAAATATACATTTTATTAAGCAAAACCTTTTTATTAATTTCAGCCACAGCAATAGGTAATAGTTTTGCCTCTGAACAACCAGAATGGTTAATACCTGTTATAGCTTCAGTGGTATCAGCTGTCATCATAATCATTGTAGCTGGCATTGTATTGTTTTGCTGTTATATCAAAGGTTAGTATTTATTTGATCTAGATATAAAACGAATCTTACAAAGTGTCGGTCTGTTCACATTAAATTAGCTTTTCGCTTTTCATTGTATTTGTATTGTGCTTAATTCGTTTTGTTTCTTCTTTTCCTTGCCCTTTTTTTTTTGTTGCTATAGTTTGTCAGGATTTTCAAAAGTCCCTGAGAACCTGTGAATGTGACATAGATTTAGGGTGATTTTTCAGATGACTGAAGTTTTATTAAACCATCGAATAAAGAGTCAGCTTAAGTGACTTTGATACACTAAACTGCAGAGTTTCACTTCACAATGTCCCAAAGTACACCCTAAAGTATGCTAGATATAGTACAAAATGACGCATGACTTTTAAGATGGTGTTTTAATTTTATTTTTATTTTTACCACATGTAGGATTTAGAATGTGCTCTGAAGATGCCTCTGCAAGCCTAAATCAAAACGAAGTACTTACGCAAAGTATGGTGTTGTTGGCAGGTACAACTCGTGATGACACAATTGCCTAAATCTCCATTTTGTAAAAAATATTAACATTTTTCACAATTTGTATGATATAATTTATGCAATTTTTTATCAATGAATTTTTTTTTTCTTTTTATTGCTTATTTTATGTTTGTCATGGTGTTCATTTTTTATTTTTATTTAAAGTTCTTTGCCCTGCCAGACCCTTTTATGTTACATATTGAATTAAATGAATCAATTAACAATGATTTAAAACGATAGGTGCTCCTAAAGTGTATTATTACATATATTGCCCATCATATGGTACCATAATTATCATATCAATCAAATGCCCACTTACAAATCATCCTTCAATTCTCGTCATATCAATTCTCAAATTTTTATTTTTTAAAAACTATTCATGAATTATTCTTAACTTCTTTTAACGTAATAGTGTGTACTCCAGGACAATTTAGGGCGAACATTTTGTGTTTTTTTAATTAATATTTTTAACTAACTTCTATTTTTATCAGTTACAAAGATGAGCACTTCCTGTTCTAAACATTGAGCTGCAATAATGTTAATGAATTAAAAAAAAAATCAAACCTGTTTTTAAATTAAATTTTATTTATTGTTTATTTCATAGCAAAGTCTGGTGAAGAGTTAATCTCACCGAGACGTCCACTTAATTGTCTTGTCTCAATTTTCAAGTCTAAACACTTCTTTTTCCATTTTCTATGTACTAAATTACATCTAGGCTATATACTATGTAACGTACGGAAAGAAACAACAAAATTATGTCTTATTTTTCAGTGTATTCAACGCCCCCCCCCCCCACACAAAAAAATATGTTTGGTTTGTGTCATTACTATTCTGATAGTTATGTATCAACTATTATATGTATATTATATATGTGTGTGTGTGTGTGTGTGTGTAATATTATTTTTATCATAAGAATTTTTAAAGCATTTTAGTGATTTTGGAAGCGATTGAGAATTATGGTTTTTTTATCTTATCGAAACATTTTAATAGGACATTGACACATTTGCATCTGGATTAATATACTTGCAGACTAGAAATATTTAAATAAAAATTCTAACATATGGACATTACACAGATGCATGTATCACTAATCGATCATAAATGGTAAAAATCATCCTACGAATCACAATGAATAAATAATTAAATGCACCCCCCTCCCCCGGCGCAAATTTCTGCCCACCCCTGCTACAGATCAACATAATAATATAAAAAGTATATATTCAAGATGTAATGAAAGCATAAAATATTCGTTGGAATTTATATAAGCTAATGAATTGAATCCAAACTTTATAGAATATGAGTTTAAAATAGCCCCTGTAATTTCTGTTATAAAATAAAGTTATCATTTTTATTTTTTTTAAATTGCGACAAAGAAATGCATATTTAAAACAAAACGATTATCATTTTAATTTCAGTTGCTGCTTTAAATGAAATTTTTACCACTGAACAGCAATAATTGCTTATACTCGTTACAGCTTCAAATTGATAAATTGGGACTTTAATTATTGTAGTCGGCATATTGATATTTTAGTTGTATGTAATATCGAAAATTGCAATTTCTTTACTTATGACTTAAAATGGATTATTATTAAAATTTCGATTGATAAATAACGGAGATGATTATTTGTTTATTATTGAATTAAATGATGGTCGTGGGAATGACACATTAAAAAAAAATATATTATTTCATTATATCTTTGGTAAATTGTGATGAGATATATATCTTAATGTTCCATAGTCATCTAACCTTGAAGTCGGACGACTACTTGTTTAGATATCGTCTCTGACTTCGTCCCCACGGACTAATGCAACTGATACCATACGTTTCTTTTTTCAATACACTAAAAACTGCAAAAATCATTGCAGGTTGTCAGTTTGATCACTTCAGCACTTACGTAGAAGTCATGTACAAATGTCCAAAAAATCCAATTGTTACACAAATGCCACTACTACTTTAAAAATAGTTCCAGCAGCTGTAAGCAACACACAACAGCCTTCCCTGTGAATATGACGCGCTCTCCGTTCTCTCTTCACACACCATACATATACCCTGGTGCCCATCATCAATAATCTCACACCCTTTTCACGTATGCTTGCATTACTTCGGGTTAACGTAAATTATTGTAACCCCCAAGCATGACAACAGTGGTTCTCATACCCTTGACAAATAGATGGTTTGAGGATGAATCAAGCTTCTTTAAAATGTTGGATGTCTATATATGTACAGATTAATGGACTGTTCAAATTTAAAGACGCATTGGTCAACGTTTACCCAACAAATAAGTTCTTTTAAAATGTTAGTGGGAGTGTTGAGCGTTGTTGTTGTAAATGGAGTATACGTTTTAGAAAATGTTTGAAATGTTTAAATGTATTTTGTTAATAGATTTAGAAGTTACATTCGTAGGATACCATGTTTTCCAACATATACGCTTGGAGAGAAAGGAGTGGACCTCTTTTACAAAATCCTATGTTAACAATGTTTGAATTATCGTATGTTTCTGTCATTTAGAGAGCTTTTTAAATTTTGTACTTTGATATTATGTTGATTTCTTCAAAAAAAAGAACCAATACTCAATGAAACCCCTAGGCCGAAAGTGGGTTAAAAGCTCAAAGTGATATTTTTTTAAAGTGTTTGCGATGGAAAATCAAATGAATCACATTTTAATAACGCGGTGAATGAAGAGTCTGGCTACATGATTAAAAAAAAATAAATGAACAAACAGTATTGTATCACAAAGCACTCAAATAATAAGTTGTTTTGAAGTCTAGATGACTAATTATTCTACTTTATAAAGCAGTACTTTCGATATAACAAAGTTAATCAGAATATGATTGAATTTTAATTTACATGAAAATTGGGTTGCTAATGTCCATCATTTGTATTTCAATGCATTTTTATTAGAGACTCAACAAAATTAATTTACTCAAAATACATGTTAAAGAAAGGAAATGTGAATTGCTACATATGACTTTACGGAACAAAGAACGATGTGGACAGAACAAATTTGAGGATCAGAATATTAACTTAATGACTTAAATTATATTTTTTCAAATTATTAAATCGTTCTACATAAGTTTACAGAAAGTATTTAGATTTTTATACACTTATAAATATGCTAAGATATTTCTTCATGAACAAAATTTAAAACAAAAAAACAAAATACAAATGAATCATGTTTTTTGGGGTTATATTTGACATTACATTTTGAAATTAAGTTGGCCTTTTTATATAATGTCCTAATAAGGATATGGTTTAATTTGATTCCTTTTTTTAAACGATGAATAACAATTTAAAAATGTGTTGTTAAAGTATGCAAAAAAAGTAATATAAATAAACTTCTTAATCTTTTAAGCGTACAGCATCAACGTGCCTAGCTCTTATCGTTACTGTTTCTCATTGTGTCAAGTAACATGTGTTGGGAAGTGGTTGTCGGAAATAGGTCTTTTTTACGAAGAAGTGGGCAATAACATGGGCCATATTTTCACTCCTATGTACGAAATAGATGATTTTGACAGAGGCTTATGTTTGAAAAAAACAAAAAACTATGGGAACTAATTAAAGAAATATTTTATCCTAGAAACACATTTATCTGGTAAATTTTAAGAAAATATCCAGTTGAGGAATTTTAGTGTGTCAACGGAAAAGGAATTCTTTTTGATCATTTTGCCAAGGAGTTACACCCCCTTTTCGTCAGAAGGTTTTGCGTTTTCCACCATGACATCTACGAAAACCTTCATTTAAACTGAGCATCGTCATACGTTTTTTTTTCTATTGTTTAAGAGCATATGTAGATTATCATACTGCATACGGGTTGTATTACGTTAAACGAAGCCAGATCCCTGAACATGATGGTGCATTGTGGAAATTTCTGGCTTGTGTAGGAGAAATACGATCTATAGAACTGCTCGTTGTTCTAAAGAAAGTTAATTTAACTTCCTAGTCCAGATTTCAACTTCCGTTGACAGAATACATTTTCTAGAACTGTGTAACGTGATGGCAACATTTAAATATATATATATATATATATCGTGACATCTGTTACACGTTTTTTAACCAACACGATCAAACTTTACGTTAAACACAAGCTTTGTTACATTATAAATATTTTTTTCTCCGTGGATGAAGAGATCCATTTCCAATAAAAAATGCCAACACTAAAATATTATTTCACTTATTTTTCACCGTGGGAGCTGGATATATGAACAGTTGGCAAAAAAAGTACGCTTTAAAAATCTGTTAGATTTAGTAATGCCAGTTTTGTCGCATGCTTTATATTGCTGGCTCGTTGATAAGATGCATGTTTTAAAATAACGATATGTAGCATAAATAATCTGTTTTAAAGATGCCTTACCAACTAATGTACAACGTAAAGGCATGTAAAGCCAAAAATTTTCTTCTAAAATTGCCACATGGTCGATACTCTTTTTTTATCAACAAAAGACGAACTAGAAAGGCAAAAAAAAAAAAAAACACAATCCTTTTTAAAATTAACTGTTGGATGATTTTATCAAAGATTAATTAAATAAATTTTAATTTTACCAACAAATGTAAAACGTAAAGGCATGTAAAGCCAAAAATTTTCTTCTAAAATTGCCACATGGTCGATACTCTTTTTTAATCAACAAAAGACGAACTAGAAAGGAAAAAAAAAAAAAAAACACAATCCTTTTTAAAATTAACTGTTGGATGATTTTATCAAAGATTAATTAAATAAATTTTAATGTTGATGATAGTTTTGCGTCATACCAAACATCATCTGAAAAAAAATAAGTCTTTATTTTGCCAGTAAATATGCATTAACATTCTGAAATAATACAAATATAATACGTTTCCAGACATTCTAACATTTAAAATTATATCAGATCGAGAACACATGCAACAAAATCAAAGTCAGGAGTAACCAAAAAAAAAAAAGAATGTATCCTTTAATGAGAAATATCAGTAATATACAGAAAATAGAGAGCAAAATATGTAACTCACATTCAACTTGTTCAGCGCCTCGCAACTGACGTTTTCTTTTAAAACACCACAGGATTAGAGAAATAAAGGACACTACACACGCGAGCGTCACAAATGTGATGATCAAAGTTGATTTTACATAATTAACGTCGTTATCTCTCACTGAAAAAAACAATGTATTAAAATATTTATGTTTTGGCCTATCTTTGTAATTTTCTAATTGAATTATTACATTATAAAATCTTGTCTGACAGTCTTTTTTAAACATGTTTGCAGTGTGTAATTTCATGCCATTTATATAATTTTTTTAATAAGAGTGATCACTATTAATAATTTATTTTCTATCCTAAAATAATAATTTGCACTGCATTTCTAGTGATGTTGTATCAATATATTTTGTTCTTCTGCCACTTCTTATTAATAAACTTGCAAATTAACATTTTTAAAATCGGACTGTAACTTACGAACAACCATCGGCCTATAGTAAAGAGGAGCACTTTCCCATCCAGGTACGTTGCTTGATTGGCAGTAAAAGACTATTGAAATATATAGAGTGAAAATATAATAT